AGGTTTACCGTGCAAACATACATGTGACCTAAGCTGACATCGTATCTTGGGATGCACCGCCTGTTCTGGGCCATACAGTAAGATCGTGAGTGTCTTTTGCCAAGGGATCGACGAATCTACATTACCTAGTCCGGTTGTGGCTCCTAAGCACCGCGGTAAGAAAGCTTGCCAAGGATGATCTTCAACAGCGGTCATCAGCAGTTCGTCGCTAGTCAGTCTTATCTTTGGACGCTAACGCCGACGACGACCTTTGATAACACAGCCTCGATTGCCGTGCTTTGTGGACCGCAGAGACGGCGAGCCTTGCTGACAACATTTAGACCTTGGCATTTTTCGGATGATGTCGAAATCAGCGGAGCCCCCGCCCCCTTTCAACCCTATTTCGGCAGACTCTCTGCCGACTGCCTCACCTTAAAATTTCCTCCACGTTTTCACTCAAATGCAAGAGCTCACTGATGCAACGTGGGTTGGTACGTTGGAAAAAAGCAATACTTAATTCTGGCCCAACCGTTTGAGAGCGTGTTCTTGCAGGTCCTGTCAGGCTCGGCAGAACTGAAACACTTGATGAAAAACCCAACGGAATTTCATACACTGCCAAGGTGGGGTTGCATTGATTCGTCTCTAAGGAGGAATTCTATTTCCGTTCAACTCGGTGGGGTGCCGACTCAGCCATCCCCATGGGCACGTTAATCGCACCGGGGAAGCGAAGTCTGACATCACTACCTACGGTAATACCAGCTACGAGATGTGGTGGGTACCTCTCACACAGACTGACGCATAAGGTAGCTTATGAGCGAGATCCATCCTTGTTATAGAACCACAGACGGCATTTGATCCTATGTGTACCTGGGAGAAAACATTGAACGTGACATTGTCACGGGGTCAGCCATGGTCATTGGTATCTAAGCAAGGGGTTCGGTGGATGTATGCACCGTACTGTATGTCAAGGAAGGACCCCTCCGTAGTGGATCGTTATAGTCGGACAATAATGTCACTGCTGTTTGTCAATCTCTTATCGCGAGTGATGATCCTAACCACATCAAGTCTCTAGCCGTTTATCCTCTATACTGGCTATTGTCGATTTCGTTTCGGTGCCTTAACCCCGCCCGCAAATCTCTTGAGAACAAATTACGCCACCACGACGAGAGTTCCTCGGCGTGGGATGAATGTTGATCATCCCTACCACTTCTTGCTAGGCAGCTGTTTGTTTGCTAGACACCTGTTTGTTTGCTAGGGTACTAATGCGGTCTTGTGATGTGTGTGAATTCTTTTTTTCACATCATAGCGGTGTCCATATCAATGTACTGCAATGCCTCGATTTAGGCCAGACATATATTGATGTAGTTCTATTGCATAGCGACCCTTGTGGAAACATGACAATTGGTCCTGCAAGCAGCCAGCATTCAATTACTGGCAATAGAGGTTCACCTTCTAGAATACACTCAAAAGCGCGGATTTAATCTGGCGGTGGAGGATGGCAGCATCTTAGACCATAAGTATTGCCAGAGATCAAAAACCCCATAAGAAGAGGGGGAGAGTAACACTGAAGGCGAGGTTTTGAAGGTAATATGAGCTTGAGTCAACGTTGGCCACGAAGGAGTTCTACGTAGTTATACTCATCAGGTGATTTCTCTGTGGCCTGAAAGGTGAGACAGAATCATTCCCCTTATCGCTGACCATTGCTGACTGCCCTTGAGGATCCTCACGACCTCCTTGGGTATGCCCGCCTGATCACTGTTACCAACTTCGACGGTTTGACTTGTTCGAGAATTCGTAGACAGGTAACTCTATTTATCAGACATCACGATGTTTCTCACGATTCTTGCCCACACGGACTCCCATTCATTCCACCAGTGAACCTTGATCTCCCGAGTCTCGCCTCGCCCCACCGATTTCACATGCTTGGTGCGATTCGCGACGCTTCTGGATTCCTTCTCTCATCCATTCGCTTGAGATAATGGTCTCCCCTGTGAATATGGAAGAAACCCTTTACCTCTTTTTGGGGTGGGGGGGGG